AAGAGGGGGAGCACACATTAAATGGTGGCAGTAGTGGCCAGGAGCCTTAGTACACAAGGTACACTTCACCCTCAATCTTATAGGGGAAGTTCCTCCAGCTGAAGATGGGGGTAGCCTGGGGTTCCATGTAGTTGAGCATTTTCACTTCTGAGTTGCTCAGCCCCACGTCCCACATGTAGACGTCGGAGATCTCCCCCACAAAGGACTGCTGAGCATCAAAACCACCCCCGAAGGTGTCCTGCTCCTGCCCCAGAATCACCACGGCCTCGTTGCCCACCTCATAGCCCTTCTGCAGCCCTTTGCGTGGCCACGGGCGTCCGTTCAGCCAGAAACGCACGATGCCAGTGGGTGACTCCCAGGTGACACAGACGTGTTCTGACTCCATGTGGCTCTCAGGGATGCGGAAGGCGATGTATTTCCCCCCGATGTAGAAGCGGTACTCAGTGGGATTGAATTTGAGGAGGACGATCTCGTTGTCCTGCTCTTTGGTGGCGTAGGAGAAGAGGCTGTGGGGCCGGGTGAGGTCGGTGTAGGAGCGCAGGCACATGGTGAAGTTGAGCAGGGGGTGCTCTGGCTGCGCCTGCACCAGCACATGGGAATCATTGGACTCTTCAGGGAACACGAAGACTTTGTACTTCAGGTCTGGGAGAGATAAGAAAAAAAGCGAGTGTCCCTCACACAGGGAAACCACCAGATCTGGAAGTGGCCACTGTTAGCCCAGGGGTGGCTTCCAGCATCTCAAGGTGCAGTCACACGAGGGCTGGTGACCCTGAGTGATGTTGGCACGGGGTGGTGAGGAAGAACTGGAGGAAGGAGGGCACAGCTGGGGGGACAGATTTTTCCCTTCTTACCGTCTGTCCAGAGGTTGTAGGTGGCCATGGCAGAGCCCTGGGGGCTGGTGACCTTGCAGGTGTAGATGCCCAGGTGGGTTTTATTTAAGAAGCGGAAGAGGAGGATATCACTGGGGCCTCTCTGCAGCGGTTCGTGGATCCCTTTCTTCTCCCACACGAACTCCTTGGGGCTATGTGGGACTCAGTGTCACCCAGGTGTGGGGTTGCCCGTGGGGTGGCCATGCTGTAGGGTGGGGGGGCTGCCTTACCCGGTGTCCCCGGTGACCTTGCAGCTCAGCACCAGGCTGTGGTACATAGAGGGCACTTGGGGGGAGCTTTGGATCCAGGCGCTCAGTTTGGCTGCAGCACCTGGACAGAAGGACGGTGTTGGGGTGGGGGGTTATAATCACCCTGCCACCCCCCCTTACAGCCCCACGTTCCCACGTGTCCCTTTTTGTGGTGTCTGCTGTTGTATCCCCGCTGTGCTGTGTTGCTCAGTGCCACCACCCTGTGTGTCCCCCCATCTGTCCCCCCACCTGCTCCCTATGGGACCCTTCACCCCTACCGTCTGGGACAGTGAGGCTGCAGAGCCCCACGAGGAAGAGGAGAAGGTAGAACCGCATTGTCTCCATGTCCCCACTGCAGTGATGGCGGCAGAGGCACCGCTCCAGCGGACTTCCCAGAAAGAGGGCACTGCCACCTGACTTCCTCCCTTGACTTTCCCCAGTGAGGACATTGTCCCATGTGTTGTTGCGGTGACACCGGGTGAGTGGCTTTTGTAATGTCAGGTAATGGGCAGGAAGTGTGGGGACAATGTCCGTCCCCAGATCCACGTCACCTGAGCCTCCCATTCCTGGCAATTGATGTGTCCCCACACCCATCATGGGGGGCCATCCCCAAATCCACGCCACCCCCTCCCATCCCCAGCGGGATCGACATGTGCTCACTTTTGTCATTGTCACCTGGAGCTTTCATGGTTTATTTTGCTGCCGTGGAGCAGGAGAAGGACAAGGATCCCAGGACAGGGACGGGGCCAGCACTGTGTGCCATGGGGAGTCAGCAGGAGAGGGGCGACCCGGGGTTGGGGGTGTCCCCATCTCTCTGTGCATCACATCCCCACGGCTGTGCAGAGTGGGTGACACCATGCAGAGGGGACAGTGAGGATGGAGACAGCAAAGGGGAACAGCTTGGGGGTCTCAGGCTCCCAATGCCTCACGCAGCCGTGGTTTCACCACCACATCCCCCTTGGCCTCGTAGTGGAGGCGACCCCAGGCCAGCAGCGCAGGTGGCAGCCTCAGTGCCAGGTAAGCTGAGCGCATCTTATCGGGGGACAGCCCCACATCCCACAGGTGGACATCTGCCATCTCCCCCGTGAACGAATTATAGACGTCAAAGCCTCCCCCGTAGGCATCCTGCTCCTGGCCCAGCATCACCACAGCCTCGTTGCCCACCTCGTAGCCCTTCTGCAGCCCTTTGCGCGGCCACGGGCGTCCGTTCAGCCAGAACTCGGCGATGCCACTGCCCGACTCCCAGCTGGCACAGACGTGTTCCCATTCCCCACGGTTCTCGGGGACGCGGAAGGTGACGTATTTCCCCCCGACATAGAAACGGTACTCGCCGGGTTTGGGTTTGAAGAGGAGGATTTCGTTATCCTGAGCTTTGGTGGCATAGGAGAAGAGGCTGTGGGGCCGGGTGAGGTCGGTGTAGGAGCGCAGACACACAGTGAAGTTGAGCATGGGGTGTTCCGGTCGTGCCTGAAGCAGCACGTATGCATCACTGGGGTCCTCCCGGAACACAAACACCTTTCTGTAGAGGTCTGCAGGGGACAAAAAGGGTGGGGTGGGCTCTGCACATTCCCCCGTTCCCCTGGGGGATGGCTTTGCCATGTGGTGTCCCCAGTGAGGGGCATCCCCATGGAGTGACATCCTCATCAAGTTGTGGAAGGAAGTCTCCATTGAGTGACGTCCTCATGGAGAGGTGTCCCCGATGAGGGACGTCCCCGTTGAGTGACATCCCCACTGAGTGACATCCTCACGGAGTGATGCTCCCAACGAGGGACATCCCCACTGAGTGATGTCCCCATCAAATCATGCCCCCACTGAGTGACATCCCTAATGTGTGACATCCCCACTGCACGATGTCCCCATTGAGTGACGTCCCCATTGAGCGATGTCCTGACCGTGTGATGGCTCCAATCAGGTTCCCACTGAATGACATCCCTGGTGTGTGAACTCCCCACTGAGTGACATCCCAATGAGTGATGTCCCCACCAAATGATGCCGCCACTGAGTGACATCCCCACTGCATGACATCCCCATGGAGTAACATCCCCAAATGAATGATGTCCCCACCAAATGATGTCCCAACGTGTAACATCCCCAACGTGTGACATCCCCATTGAGTGACATCCCCACTGAGTGACACCCCGGTCCCCTGATGTCCCCCATTGTCCCCATACCTTCCTGGGCCATGGCAGCAGTGACAGCGCTGAGGACAATGATCCACATCGGTGCGGTGCCCATGGTGCTGGTGCACTGCTGGGTGCAGACACCATGGGTTTATGGGGTGGCTGGGATGGGAGGGGAGCTCCATCCCCCAATCCCATCCGCTGGCACTGATGGAGCTGTGATTTCATGGTGTCACACGGTTGCAGCACTGCATCACCACAGCACGGGGCCGTCCTGGAGCTGTGCCCAGGGCGCGTGGTGTGGGGTTGGATTTGGGGTCACCCCACCACGAGGTATCATCTCAACCCCAACCCTTCTGTCCTCTGAATGAGTCCATGTGTCCTCTGATGGTGTCTGTGCACCTTCTGGGGCTTTCTGTGCCCCCTGACCCCCCCTGTTCCTCCCTATTTCCCACCCAGACCCTTTGTCACCGCGGGACCATCCTTAATGGGGATTTCCAAGCATTGGCCAAATGCTGAGCTCAGTTATTTCCCTTCCTGCTAATTAATCACAGCACCTCATTAAGCATTCCCCCCCCCCCCTTTATTCGGAGCCCCAGGAGCAGTTCCTCCTGCTTCCACCCCATACTCCCATGGGAAGGAAACCGGAGATGATAATGGGATGGAACGTGTTGCTCCCGGGGATGGGCATCCTCAGGAAACACTGAGCTACCCCACACTGTGTCCCACAGCCACTGCTGTGCCAGCAAAGGGGCTCAGCCCACAGTGCTCATGGGGAACTCCGTGGGGCAGCAGTGGGGAGTGCCATGGGGTGGAAGTGGGGAGCTCCATGGAGTGGCTATGAAGAGCTCCATGGGTCAGTCATGGGGCAGCAGTGGGGTGTGAAGATGAGGCCTGTTTTGGGGAAGGAGAACCCCCCTCCTCCCCCCCCCAGGCATTAAACCAGGCTGTGGGCATTGGATCTGCAGAGACATTTATTGTATAGAACCCCCTACCCGGGTGGTGGTGGAGTCAGGGTTTGTCAGGGGGGTAAATACCACTCCTGGGGTGCTTGGAGGGCACCCATGGGTGCTGAGCAATAGCATTTGTGGGGTTCTGGGGGAACAGTGCCACCCACCCACAGGGAGCTTAAGGCCAACAGCACCCATGGGTGCAGGGGGAGCAATGGGTGCAGGGGAAGCAGTGCTGAGGAATGTGACCCAGGGCCATTGGGGCCACCCATGGGGGTGTGGGACGGGGCTGTGGGTGCCCTTTTGGGGCGCTCAGCACTTTCCCCCCACTTTGTGACCACAGAAGGCACTGAGGAGCAGCATGAGGGGCGTGAGGCAGCAGTGCAGCCCCCCCAGCGCCGCGCTCAACCCCAATGCAAAATCAAAGCTCTCAAAGACACTGCAGTTGGCCGGCATCACCCCCGCCTCCAACAGAACCTCCACCACCATCACCACCCCATGGGGAGCCCATAACACCCAGAACAGCCACCACACCCGGCTCCCCATCTCACCGCACGTCCCCCGCCACACTGCAGCCATCAGCAGCGCTGCGGGCAGCAGCAGGAGGACGCAGCAACACACGGTGAGATGCAGCAGATGCACAACAGAGTCCACATCCACGCTGCGATACACGCACTGCGTGCTCAGCCCCGTCCCCACGATGCCACCGCTCAGCGCCGCCGGCACCGCCATCACCATCGCCGTCACCCAAGGCACCACCGCCCTGCACCAACCACGGCCCCACAAATTGCAGCACCCGGAGCCCAGCAGCAGCCCCTGTGCCAACACGCTGCCTTGCCACAGCAGCAGCATAGCCCTGCACGGCCCCTCGCCCACCTGCCACCCCCAAGCGATGCCCGCAGCCATCGGCGGCAACGTGATGGCGAACAGCCCGCAGCACGCGGCCAGTTGGGCCACAAATGTGCGGCCATGGGGCCAGGAGTGGGAACGCAGAGCCAGCAGCAGAGCAGCCGTGGCCACGAGGGAGGTGGCACTGGTGGCAATCAGGTATGGTGGTGCGGCGCGCTGGAAGAAGGGGCAGTAGTGGTTGTAGCATGGCTGTGCGGCCGCAAAGTCGTCGTAGTCGTAGTTCATGTAGTAGTCACTAGTATTGAAGAAGTCCAGAAGGTGCAAGGAGGTTCTGTTTGCTACGATTTCAGGGCTCTGTGAAGCACAGAAGGTGCCGTGTGCTGTGGGGTGTCACTGAGTTGGCCCCTCTGGTGGCCACGTGCCGCGTGTTATCAGGGAGGGACAGTGTGGGGAGCGCTGATATCTCAGGGTGTGGGTTCACCCCAATTCAAGAAAACCCCGTTTTCTTGCACTCAGTGGTGTTTTCCAGTTCTGGGACTCACTGCTATGCAACCACCTGGGACTGGGGGACATAGGGTAGTTGGGTAGCCCATGGAGTCGGGGTTGGGTACCCTATGGGGGTGGGGTTGGATATCCCATTGGGTTGGGTACCCCATGGAGGTGGTGTTGGCTACCCTATGGGGTCTGGGTTGGGTACCCAGTGGGGGTGGGGTTGGGTATCCCATCGGGTTGGGTACCCAGTGGGGTTGGGTGCCCCATGGAGGTGGTGTTGGGGACCCCGTGGGGTCAGGATTGGGTATCCAATGGGAGCGATGTTGGGTAGACTATGGGGGTGGTGTTGGGTACCCTATAGGGTCAGGGTTGAGTATCCAATAGGATTGGGTACTCTATGGGAGTGATGTTGGGTACCCCCTGGGGGTGGTGTTGGGTACTCCATGGGTTGGATGCCCTATGGGGTCATGGCTGGGTGCCCCATGGTGTTGGGGAATTGGGGTGGAAGGGAGGAAGGCGATGGGTGTGAGAGCTGGAAATGGGGTCACCTCCAAAGAGAGGAATGGAATTTTGGAGAACCCCCCAGCACGGGAAGGACTCACCCTCGGCATGCAGTTGCCCATGATGTGTCCTCAACGCCTCCGGGCTCAGCAACGGACGCACAGCACTGTCTGCACAATGCTCAGCTCCACTCTGGCTCTGCTTTGCGGGGTGAAGGGCTGCAGGACCGTGATAAAGGCTGCCCCAACTCCCTACTTCCCTTTCTCCCTCGCCACCTCAGCAATTCCCTCCGCCAGGGCTGAAGGACACAGGCGGCTGCTGCCAGTAAAGGCTCTGAGTAGCGGCGCTGGTGATTTCCGGTGCAGGAAATGATCATTTATTGGCAGAACGACTGCAGTTCCTTCAGAATTTTGTTTGGAAGCGCTGCTGGTGCGGGGCAAAATCCGTGCCAGGTTTGCAGTCTCCACTGTGGGGTGAGTAATGGGGCTATGGGCAACGCGCCCATCCTTAGGGGTTGGGGATGTGGGGATGGGATGGAGGTCTGGGTGGGTTTGGGGGCTGTGAGGTCTCCGTGGGGTGAGCTGTGTCACCCCCATTCCCTCTCCCCTGTGCGGAGGCAGAGATGAGCAGGCAGGTGAAGGTGTGTAATCCAGATATATTTTATAGGATTATTTTTCCGAGATTAGCACAGGATATTAGAAAGGTTATAAAGTAACACCGACGTTCGTTGTCTCCCTTTATGTACATACAAGAACACAGCACAACAACACAGCCCGTCCTCCACCCCACGGCCGCCCCACGGCGCTCAGAGCTCCGCACTAATATGGCTTTCGTGGTCTATTGAGAGTTCAGTGCCCCGTGTCCCCATCCCGGTGCTCTGGTGGCACGCGGTGGCCATGGGGCCAATGCAGCCCTCGTGCTTTGGGAGGGGACACCGGGGATGTGGTGACACTGCAAAGCTCCTCTGGGTGCCAGCAGTGAGGGGCACAGTCCCAATGTCACCTCCTGCAGGATGCAGTGTCCCCAACTGTGTCCCCATTGCCACCCCTCACATGGGGGCTGTCCAACCACGGCCCCACCACTCCATGGCTGAGTCCTGACCCCAAATCCCCACAGCCCTTTTTCCAGGGACCCAAATCCCTCCTGGACCTTTGGGACATCTCCTGCGCTACGATCTGCACCGTGGAGACGTGCAGTGAGATGGAACCGTACTTAAAAACATGTCGTTGTGTTTAATTGGAAAGAATTGAGCCTTTCAAGAGTGGATAGTGAAGACCTTTGGAGAAGCCCACGTGCTGTGCATGCTCTGTGTGTGCAGTGAAGTGAACGGCATCGTGTCGGCAGTGTGACCTCTGGTGACAATGTGTGTCCCATGACAGGAGCTCAGGGCTCCTGTTGGGACCATGCTCAGCATCTTCCTTCCACTTGTCCCATGATCAATGTCTTCCTGTTGGGACCATGACCAACGTCCTCCTTCCATGGGGACCACGACCAATATCCTCCCATTGGGACCCATGGCCAATATCGTTCTCCCTTTGGGACCATGGTCAACATTCTTCTCCCATTGGGACCATGGTCAACATCCTCCTTCTACTAGGACCATGACCAAATGTCCTCCCATTGGAACTATGACAAATGTCCTCCTCCTGTTGGGACCTACAGCCAACATTCTTCTCCCCTTAGGACCCATGACCAACATCCTCCTCCAGCTGGGACCCATGACCAACGTCCTCCTCCAAGAAGATGGAAGGGGAGGAATGGCAGTGAGGAACCCACAGGTTTTCCTCACCAGGGGGTGGTGAAGGCTTCGTGCATCCCTCTCAAGGCACCCAGTGCTCAGCTGATGGAATGACAGAGCCATGTGCTGGGGACACATCTCTTGTTCCACCAAGCCATGGTGGCCTCGATCCTTATCCACTACTCCACTCCTCATCCTCTGGGTGGGAGCAGCACTTTCACCTCTCATTCCATGGTAGAGGACCCAGTTCTTCCTTTACCTCCAAGATGGGGCTGTCCACCCCACCCCATTCCTGCAACAAAGGCTCAGCTCTTCTGGGCACCCCAAAATGTAATGGGGTGCTCCTGCAAGCCCCTCACATCCAGATCATGCGATGCCAGCACCTGAGGAGGGATGGCACTGTAGATGTGAGGTTGAGGGGAGCACGGTGACCCCAGCAATGCGATGGGGAAGTCGAAAAAAAGCTTCTGGTCCCCATCTGGCTTGGAAGAGATGTGGTTTCTCCCCAGGTTGGAAGTTGGGTAAGTGCCCACCAAACCTCTTTGGAGACCCCAAGCCACCAGGACACAAAACCCAAACGTTTTGGCCACCCTTGGAGCCAACGAGGCCTCTTCCAGCTCAGCACCAACCATAGGAAGGGGCTGGGAAGGACAGGGGCAGCCCTGAGGAGCACTTGGAGCAGAGAACCCACAGATCACATTGCTGCTGGGACGCAGAGCTGCCAGTCCTGGCGTGCAGCACGGATCGGGCCATCTCCACTGCACCAAAGTCACTCTCAGGACCCAAAACACCATTCTGGAGGCTCCCGGGGCCACCGAGGAGGTGTTGGTGATGGCCCAGCACTGAACATCTCAATAGATGGTTTGAATTGACGTCTCCAATCTGAGAATTTGCAAACTGGGGCTTTTTTGTTCATTTTTTTTCCCCCTCAATTTGCCCTCCCCCCTCCCACTGGGTGGGAACGGGGCAGCCGTGGTGCCCGGCCGCTCCCAGCATCTCCAGGGGCTTCGGTGGTTCCCACCCTGGAATCTCACCCCCTTCACACACCGACGGCACGAGGACAGCTCACCTCCCCAACAGACACTGTCGGATGAGGACCACCAAGGATAAAATCAGGGCAGGGATGCGGGGGTCCACAGTAAACCCCATCCCTATGGTCCGGGGACAAAGGGGGAGGTCCCAGCTCTTGGTGGGAGCACCGATGACGCAGAGCCCGGAGCTGATTTTATCCTTGGGCGTCAAAAACGAAAACCCAAAATGGAAGAGAAACGAAAGGAAATAGCTACATCGACCCCAGCCCAACACCCCAACCGAGGGCCCAAAGCAAAGAGCAGCCACGAAACCAAAGCAAAGGTCCAAAGGAAGAAGGAACGTCGCTCACTCACTGCTTGGTCTGTGTTTCGCGCGAGCGCCGGGCGCGGGGTTGGAGGTGCAAGCAAGCAAACGGGGCTTTCGCTGTTCGTAGTAACAACGTTTTGTACAAGTTCAAGAAGAAGCATCATCACATCTCAGCCGGTCGCTCTCTGCTCTCTGTCCCGCCATCCCTCTGTCCGTCCGTCCATCCGTCCGCCCGTGCAGGGCACGAGAGTAAATCTGTTGGGTTGAGTGGGGTTTTGTGGTCTGGTTTCCGTTTCCATCGGGTTTCGCTGGCTCCATTTCTCACCCTCTCCAACGCCCTTTAGATGAAATATTCCTTCTTGTCATCGCCGCCCGCTTGGCCGCCCTCCGCGTTGATGATCGCCGTGTCGGCATCTGGAGCATCATCGGAGCCCTTGGCCTCATGGGTCAGGTAGGTGCCTGTAGGGACAGGGGACAACGTCACCAACGTGGGATGGATGGCGCAACAGGGCCACCGTGGCTGGGAGAAATCCTTTGGGCTTAGCCTGAAATGGAAAAAATGGGTTTTGCATGGGGGAAAACCCCACTGGGGACTGGGCTGCCCAAAGCAGCTGACGCTGTTGGCTCTACAACAGAGGGGGAATGGCCTTCCTGCGTCGTTCTGCCCACCCTGACCCTCCGTCCCTGTTCCCCTGGAAGGTTTTCCTGCAGAAGGAGGAGGTGGGGTGGGGATGGGGGGCTCTTACTCACACATCACCACCTCGGGTGGGTTTTGCTGCGGTCTGGCTGTGATGGTCTCCCCGTGTCTTATGCACACACCTGCCGGGGGGATGGAAAAGGGGTGGGGAGGTGGAAATGATGGGAGGGGGAGGGAGAGGAGAAAGGGGGATCGATTGGTGGGGCACTGAAGGACTGAGGGTGCACTAAGGGGAGAGGAGGAGGAAGAATGGAAGTGGGAAATGGAGGTGGGGCCGTCCACTGCTGGATCAGCACAGAGATGGGGAATGGAGGTGGAGTTGGGCAGCTCGAGGTCAGCACAGAGCTGAAGAGCGGCACCTAAACCCAACGTTGAGGGGCTCTGCTGGCTGTCACCTCCCATCATCCCACATCCCCGTACCTTTGTGCCTGATCAGGTAATGTCCCAGCACGATGAGGAGGCTGAGCAAGAGGAAGACAATGACGGCCACCACTCCGCCGATGACCGCGTGGTATGTGCTAGAAGTCGATGGCACCGGACTGGCATCTGCCCAGGAGATGGAGGGGGAGAAAGCAGAGAGAGCAGAGGGGATGCTGTGGTCTGCCCCAGGTCCCACTCAGTGCAGTGCTGAGGAGGCAGAAGGTGGGGAGGAGCAGAGCCGGGAAGAAGCAGTGTGGGGGGAAAGCAGTGCCCTAGGATGGGCAAAGCTCTGCCCACTGTGAGCACCAGCTCTGCATGATGGCTCTGCCGTCACCATCCCCTGGTGCATAGTGGGGGCACAGGGCCATGGGAACACTCAGAGGAGACATTTGGACAAAGAGAAGGTGGAAAAAACAACGGGGGAAGACGAGGAGAATGGACACATGGGACAGACTGGACGGACATGGAAGCACCAGAGCTGTTCGCACGGCAGTGGTGATACAATGGGATGGAAGCACGGGGTGGATCTTGTTGTCCCCATGCCACCAAGCAGGGCTCAGAGCCTGGCTGGGCACATGGCAAAGTGTCCCTAACCCAGCACAGGGCCACCGTCCTCCTGACATCGTCTCCAGCTGAGGAGCAGCGGGTCCATAAAGAGACAGAAATGGAGCGTACGGTACCTTGGATGGGAGCTGGAGTGGAGGATGAAGCGGTGGCCATGGAAGCATGAGAGATGGGCTGGGAAGGGCCCGGCGGAGGGGCTGAATTGGAGTGAACGTGTGGGGTGGGGAGCTGGGAAAGATCTGGGGAGGACAACAAAAACACAGGGACAGCAATCAGCCCCCGGCAGGGACAGAGCCCACGGGTGGAACCCTGGCAGGGATGGACCTTCCACCACCCCATTTCTCTTCCTGCCTCTGGGTCACATCGGGGACACCATTCCAGTGTCCTACCTGCCAGCAGTCCCAGTCACCCCATGAGGGACCCATGGGACCTGTCTGGGTCACCCAGCACTGGGTGCCACCGTAGGGCTGCTCTGGTGATGGTGCCCAAAGCCCTTGTGGCTCTGGGGATGGGGATTTGAAAATGGGGGAAAGCAATGCCTGGATGTGGAGCTGGGTGGGCTGATACAGAGCAAGTGGGGGGCACACAGCATCCTGGGGGATGGTGGGTGGGCACTGGGTGGGTGCAGGAGCGGGACCCTGCACCAGGGGTGATGGGGATATGGGGTGGGCAAAGGCAGGGGGCTGCTGAGGATGGACTGTGTGGGGTGGGACGCATCGCTGCCATGCGCTCCTGTCAGCCACAGCCATTTCAAAAGGGGAAGGATGGGGTTGGGGGCAACAAGAACAAGAGGGGAGGGAA